TGTGTGTGTGTGTGTGTGTGTGTGTGTGTGTATGTGTTTGGAGCTTGGATCCAGGACCTTGCACATGCTAGGCATGCTGTACCCTTGAGTAACACCCCCTAGCCCAACACCTATTATTATTATTATTTTTTAATGTAGGAAAATTTATTGGGGAATAGGAATGAAGGAATGGGGAACAGGAATAGCTCCTGAGAGACAGGAGGGATCCTGAATCGGTTGCCCACTAGCTCGCTTCTCAAAGGAAGTTTTATAGAGCAAAATCATGAGGTGGGTACAACGTGGGTCAAAATTATGATCAATAAGAATGCAAGTATAGTCGCTGAGGTAATATTGATCTAATGGTAGCAAGGGTACATCGGTGACATCATTAACCTTCGTTGATAATCCGTAGTCTTAGTCTTTTCTGTAGTCTTAGTGGTCTTAGTTTTAGGTGTAGTGGTCATAGTCTTAGTGGGTGGGAGAGGATGGACCACCCCTAACGAGATAATGGAAAATCTCAAAAGGGTGATACCTTTCATCCCTTAGGGAAGTAAGTAAAACTGGCCATTGTGACTTTACTCTTCAGATGCGCCTCCAGTCACAGTCCTGACAGATTCTCATCTTTTGCACCGACACCCTCGGGGGCCCAGCCCTGTCTGAATGCCTACTATATTTTTACCCAATTTAGCTGTCTATAATACTCCCCACCTCTGAAGAGGCATCTCTACCTTTGGTTAGGGGAGAAGGGGCGTGGTTTCCAGCTAGTTGCTCTGAGCTCAGAAGGGTCGGTGTAGGGCCCTTCTACAGAGAGCTAATCTGATGTGCCTTAGATAGAGGTCATGTTGTAGTTTAGCAGTTATGAGCTCTTCACAAGGTTGAGCGGGTGGATCCTGGAAAAGGATCCTGGCGCGTTTGTCTTTGGTTCCATGATCACTTGGAGTTTGGCAGCTTCTGAATAGCAAGAACTTTGAAATATAAAGTGTAGCCAGAGAACTATTATTCCTTACCAACCATGGTTATTTTCGTAGTTGAATCCCTCCTTCCAAGTATCTTGGTGGGACCTCAAAGATGGTGTAAGGGAAATGCTAAATGTCAAACATGCTGAATTCGTGTCCCCCCCAAAGTCAAAGAATGAATTCTAAGCCTTGACACCTATTTTTAAAAGCTTTATTTATTTATTATTATTATTATGATTTTTTTTTAATTTTAAAGAGAAAAAGAAGGACAACATAGCAATAGGGGGATTCACCGAATTACAGACAAAGTGGTAGGACATTATCAATGGATGTTATTTTACCTGTTGGTATCTTCAAGATAGTTTCTCAAGAAAACAAATAGACAAATAATAGTGAGTTACAGAGAAAAATGGTAGGAAATTATCAATGGTGGTTGTACTATACCCTGGTTTCTCCAAAGTGGTCTCTAGGGAAAACAAATAGAGCTATACATGAGTGATCAATCAAATGATCATTGACTATTCTCAATGTATTTTTTGTGTTTTTGAGACAGGGTCTGACTATGCAGTTTAGGCTGGCCTTGAGCTCACTTTGTAGCCCAAACTTGAAACGGTCCTCCTGCCTCAG